ATATATTTCTCAATCTTCTTTCAGCATATTATGCCTACATTAAAGGAAGTTAATTAAGAAACCCCAAAAAAATGAGAGTCAAACTTGACTTTCGTAGTTGAAGCCGCGACTTATACGGATGTTTAATACATGGATTTGTGCACAGTAATAATATTTGTCACATAATGCTTGTTGTGATTTTGGTGTCGTGATGTTGAGCATTTTTTATTTTTAATAAGATTTTCTTTATATTATATATTTAGATATTGGACTATTCACAAGTTGACTGTTGAGTGTTTTTCTTTGTTAAAGAAATTGACAGTTCAGTGTTCACAATTTGAAAATCTTATTTTCAAGTGTAAAATAATACTTCATATCAAGAGTTTATTTATCTACTGACATGCGGTCAGACTTGATCGACGGGCTGATCAAGTGATCCTAAATTTATTTATTTTCTTTTTTTGGTCTGAGTTTAGTAATATTGGAAAATTATAAAGAGTAGTGTTTGGTATTAGAGCATCTCCAATGGTAGAACTACATTAGAAATTTTTAACAATATTTTTTATTATAAATTTATTTTTGTCGGAAAATTCACTGTCGATAATTCGGAGTAGATCCCATTGCTCACAGTTTGCGACTAATTATCGGATTCAACACTCGAGACACAATTTGCAACTCATTATCAGATTCAAATCAACTGATCCAGACAATCTTTTCCGATTTCGTCATCAGAAAGAGACTAGAAAGAGAGAATCGAGAAAGATGAACAAACACGCGCAAAAAAATTTTCCTTTGTTAAAAATTCTTCAGTCAACCAAAACATGGCACCTCATGGGTTCTTAAGAGTTCTAAAAACTCTCAATTAAGAACTGGTTCTACACTTATTTTTCTGTTTTCATTTATTTTTAATTGATTTTTGCCTAAGAACTCCCCTTAACAGATACCATTGGAGGTGTTCTTCCTGTTTCAAAATTTTATAAACGGCTTTTAAAATTTTATTGCATAGTATTACGTTTGTTAATCAATAATTTTATTTATCAAAATTATTTACATAGACATGTTGATATAAATAAATTTAAGATTATCTATTTGTATAGGTTTATTTTTATTTTTGAATAGAGGTGTATTTTGTAAATTGAATCTAAATTTTTTCTCTAGATGTATATATATGTTTGTGCCAGTTAAGATGGGATTTTTTTCCCTCCAAAATGGCTGTTTTAGAGTTTATTTGATTTTTTCTATTTCTATTTTTGCTTTTATCTCTATTTTGAGGTTTAGATGATTTGTTACCTCAAAAACAATGTGTCAAATAACTTTTTGTTTATTCCCTTTAAAAATTAAATGCTCACAACTAACCATTTCTTCTCGCAATTTTACTGTCCTTTGACTGACACAATCGAGTTCAGACATTACAATCTATGTTTTTTTCTTTGTTAGGGAGAAAAAAGAAAGATTCTTCTCCACCAAAATTCATCCCACTGGTTTATTTTAATAATGCACCTGCTAAGGCAATGGTCATGCAGTTCTGCTACACACATATATGTCGGAGACTTTTGACTATGGAATTAACCCTATCAAATTCGTATGTCAAGATCAAGCCCATCTCTTTGAAGTTTATATAATAAGACGATTAGGTTAAAAATATATAATTTATAATTATTATAGAGCCATCATTAAAGATTACAAACCGGGCTTTGTGGCCTAGTGGTAAAGGGGTCACAGCTGTGATTTCCACCACCAAGGTTTGAGGCACGGCCACTGGCAGGTTTATATAGGGGAATTGTCAGTCTCGTGGGATTAGTCCTTGGACCTAGTTTCTTTTTGGGAGACCCGCGGTTATTCAAAAAAAAAAAAAAAAAAAAAAAAAGATTACATGAGTAGGCTTGTCAAAAACAAAAACAAAAAAAAGATTACATGAGTAGGCTTCTAATAACGGCGGCTTCAGGGCTATCTTCATCGACAGATTCGAGAAGCTGAGACAAACGCTCGCTGAGATTGTCAACTTCTCTGTTCAAATTTCGTATGTAATTGCATGTCTCTTGCAATACTTTCGACGCTGATACCTTCAACAAAAAAAAAAACGAAAAAGAATCATAAGCATTATAATATATGTGTTTTGAACCAATGCATGCACTTTTATGCGTTTGCAGATGCATGCAAGCTGATGATTTTGATGGAAAATCTATGCAAATATGTTTGTATATATATATGAAAGAAAAAGGTTGTGAATATTGTTATGTTCCTTAATGTCCGGAGTCAAAAGTTCCGACTTCTTTTGTTTTTTTTTTGATTTTAATGTCTTCTCTTCTTTTCACAAAACTTTTTTTCTTTCCTTTTTGGGTAGGTTTCACGATGGATAATGTTAAATGGTCGTTATAAGTGAATATTGCATATAATATGTGTGATACCTTATCAGAACGACGTCGTTGGCCAATCTCCGGCAAAATTTGACGGAGCTTAGTTACGAGGTCAATCATTTGATCATCGGAGATCCTTGGAGCACTTGAAGATTGTCTTGATCTTCTGTTCGACATGTTCAACAATGTGACAAGAAAGACCCTAACTAAGTTGTGGATTCTTCTCTCTTGCTTCACTTCTCTCTCACACTAGCTCAAACAAGTTCTATTGAGGAATAGAAATAGAGAAATGAGATAGGCTATGTCTATGTGGCAAGTAGGTGTAAGCTTTTATGATTTGATATAAGGTTTTTAAGTTGAAAAGAAACGACCAAGAAGAAAGAAAAACTAGAAAGCAAGAAGAAAAATAGAGAAGAGAATGTAATGAGAAAAGTGTTTTGGGGTTTTGAATACACTTCAAATATAAAGAAATTGAGAATGTGATAAGAGAGATTTAAATAGGCCAAAGGACCACAAGAGAGAGAGAGACGGAGCAATAAACCTCGACAATGATGTCACGGGAGAAGAAAGCGATAGATTTGAATGCCCTTTAACCACAAAACTTCGAAATCATTTTTTAATTTTATTTTTAATTACCGATTTTCAAGTCGAGACTATTACCAATCATTATACGAAGGTAGAGTGGCGGGATGGAATTATTTCACAAAGTTTTCAATCATGGTTAGTTATTGTGTATATTTCAAATGATAAAAATTGATTACTATATAGTTCTTACAAAAGTTTCAAGATTCGTTAAACCCTTTTAAGCCTCTCCCAAAAAATATTAAGACTAGGATGGATCACAAGTATATATATATATATATGCTTAGTTATTGAAAAATTTACAGTATAATTTCCTATAAAGAGTGAACAAATAAATGGGTACTAAATAGTATGAATAATTGAGGAGATTTGAATAGTTTAAATGGAGGAAACTAAGAGTTCCCAAAGATGGGGTTGATGAAGGTCAAGATAAATGTTTCATGTTCATCTAACATTGTGGCCCTTCATCTGCAATTTCACAAAAAGGCAACTACCATGTGATGACATGACTTTTCATTCATTTTTTTTTCTCTCTATCATTAGAATTCGTATTATGGCCTGAATTAAACTCCTTCTCTTTAATTTTTTCCAAATACAACTTAACAAATTTGTGTTCCATAGTATGGTACAATTTGTATATTTATCTATAATCTTGTATATTAAAAATATATAATTTCAAACTTGTATAAAAAGAGGATAGAGAGAATTATGTAAATTATATCTTCCATACTAACTACATTTTTCTTTTTTAAAATGGAGAAGCCTAATTATGTGACTCATATAGAACATTGTTTTCTAAATGCTAAGCCATATAGCTTCACCTCATATATATAATATTTCGTGTTGAGAACTTTTTTTAAATAATAGAATGTCAATGTAATAAAAAAATAGTAAATATGAAAAAATATCAACTTTTTATAAAACGTCAAAACGAAATCAAATGCTTAAAAAAAGGAACATATACATATTTGCTTAGCAAAAAAAAGAATATATACATATCAGACTGTTTCGACTGTTTATTTCGAACTTCTTCGAACACTTACACTTTGACTAAAACAATAGCCAATTTATTTAAAGAAATGTTTTGTTTTGAAGTGATTAAAATGCATGTCTCATAGTCATTCATATAGCTTATTTTAATGGTTCGATTGGTCCATTAGAGCATCACCAACGCTCGTCTCTCTATTTCAGTTTCTCATATATGTGTGAACACAACTTTTAAATGTGAACACAAATAAATTCATATTTTATTAATAAATATTTTAGTTAGACTAATTATAGTAGGACATCTGTGAGAAACGTTTCTTAAAGTCTCCCAAAAGAGCGACGATTCTCTCCCTCTCTCCTCTTTTTCCTATTTTTTTCTTTATTTTAATAAAGAGAGACTTTGCAAAACATACCCGTTGGAGATGGCCTTAGGGCATATGCAAGGGCATATCTTTGAAGTTTGATCTTAAGGGAAAAATAATATTAAAATATTGTAAGAACACTAATTAAGATCTTTTGTAAAGTAATTGATTATTGGTAGAACATGTTTAGATCATAAAAAATAATAATTTAATAATCAAAAACTTTAAATGTTTTTAAAAATTAAAAAAATTATTTCTAAAATTGAAAAATTAAAAACTAAACTTATATTAAAATTGACTAACCGAAGCCGATTTAAAATTGACTAAAAAAATTAACTAAAATTGGCTCCGATTTTATATTAAAAACTAAACTTATATTAAAATTGACTTAAAAAAATTATTTCTAAAATTGGCTCTGATTTGGCCGGAAATCCGAGCGAAATCGGCGAAGCAACGAAGGCGAGAAAATTAGATGCAACACGATTTTCGCCCAAATGAAAAACAATTTCCGTTAACAAAATTCGAACCAATCCGCGGATACCACGTGGCCACAAGAACGGACTTAGATCAGTTCTAGTCCAAGACCACTTCTCATGTTCTTAATCCACTAGTCCAACATTTTATTATTTTTTTAACATAAGATCAGGCCATTAGTTGGTCCGATAAACATGGTCTTAGTGGTTGAGTATTAATTTATATAAAAGTTCTCAAAACATCGACTATGTCACGTGTCACCACCATGTCTCGTGCTACATGCTGCCCTCGGGTCCATAAGATCAAAATTTTAGATATCTTGTTGTCCAATAACATTATCAATAAAGATCCGACAAGTATGTAACAGTCGAATACAATTATCTGTGTGAAACATATTATTATTAAAAAAAAATAAAAAATAAAATAAAAATAAAAATAAAATATTATTGTTATTATTATTATGAAAAGTGTATATAAAATTCGAAATCCCACATTATCCCTCAAAATATTTCGTTTGTGTGGTGTATTACTGTAGAGAAATTGCACTAGATAACCTAAAAAAAAAACAAAATTAAATATCTAACATCTAACCCCCCTATTCACTCTCTTTCTCTTCCTATCTCTTTCTACCTTCTTTCTAAAAAACTAAATTTTCTTTTTTTTGGGTTATTCACCTAAATCACCCATTAATTTATCACATTCTATTTTAATAGTAATTCAATGACAAGTTCTGTCGAAACAAAACAAAAATAGTAATTCAATGACAAGTTTGGTAAAATCTCGCAAATTTTTTTTTTTTTTTTTTTTTTTGTTAAATTATATTCAAAAGAAAAATAAAAACGTTTGTACAACTAGTGCATCATTTTGCTGATAAGGAAAGCCGAGAGAGAAAATTAAAATTTTACAACAAGCAAATCAACCATAGACTTTGATCCATAACTGATAGGCTTCAGCGTACCGCCTATCTCCCATTAATCGAATCGCCGAGATCTGATTTCTTACTTGCTTATCAATCCAACTCGTTATATGTTCCGCTGTTTGAGGTTTGTCACCATGCCCATTTCGTTCTTTCCATATTGTATATACAGCTACTTGGAACACGGATCTAATGAGATATCCCTCTACCCGCTGAAGCTGTGTGTTCGAAATATAGTCAAGAATGAGTGACCAAACTGTTGTGTACCTTGTTTTGAGAAGACCCTTAAAACCCGCCCATACTTTTGAACTGTACTCGCAAGAAAAGAAAAGGTGATCTCGTGTCTCCGGGTGGTTATTGCATAAAACTCGCAAATTAAAGTTTAAGTAGCTACATTAAATCTATTCTAACAAAACAAAAAAAATATATAAGTGAGAATGGTTCTCTTTTCGACATGTTTGTATGACATGGATTATAGGCCTGGACATTAATACCCGAACCCGAAGAACCGAACCGAACTCGACCCGAAAAATCCGATCCGAACCCGAACCCGAAGTTTTAAAATACCCGAATGGGTTCTAAACTTCACAACCCAAAAAACCCGGACCCGAATCCGATCCGAACCCGAATCCGAACAAGTACCCGCACATACCCGAAATATAAGTACATAGTTATAGTATATTAGTTTTATTTATACTTGTAATAACCTGAGTGCCTAAATTATTTGGATGTTAAGATATTTTTGGGTGTTTTAGTTACTTTTGGCTAGATTCAGGTATAAAATACTTGGGTTTTATAGATTTTTTGAGTATTTTTCAATACTTTGCATAGAGTTGGATACAAATTTTTTAATATTTGGATACTTCGGGTAAACCCGAACCCGAACCCGAAATATCCGATCCGAACCCGACCCGAACCCGACCCGAACGGGTCTTAGTTTTCTAAATCCGAAAAACCCGACCCGAACTCGATCTGAATATCCGAACGTCCAGGCCTAATGGATTATATACCAGTTAACGAAATCAATGTTATGTTACTTATTAAAAATACTTCTTGGTTAATATATACAAAATATACAAGAAAATTATCTTCTTCATCGTTGTGTTATATCGCGATATCATCCGACATGAAATTCAATCTGATAATTCATAGAGAATGATATGTGGATCAGACAACCGTAAGTACACCATATATCTTTCAATGATCTATCCATCACAAATATTTAACGAAAACATTAATTCCTCCTACTATTTTCTTAAATAATACACATACTTTTTTTAATAAAGCACATAATTGAAGAAAGCATTTATTAATTTTTCTTATATGTGTGAATACAAGAATATATATATAAGTGTGTTGGTGTCAATGATGTGTGTGTGTGTTTTATATATACAAAGATTATTAAAGAAAGTGACCATTCTAATAAATTGCAAAGGGAGATTTTACATGTTAGTCCATGTGGGTTCGGGTACTAAATGTTTGGTCTCATAGGCTCCACGATGTTTTTGTGTCTACTTTTTTCGCAATTAATTCACATCTTTACAAACATGTTGTAAAAAACGACTAATCATGCAAAAATGAACGACTATTTAAATAAGTAATTTATAAAAACTTAGAAAATCAGTTTGGAAAAAGTTGAGCAATTTGTTTTTGTTTTCAATGAATTACAAAAACACTATAGTACGATAATATGCATTAATGGCACCAATCATATCATAGCAGTGAATAAAATAACATTGAAAAAGTAGTCAAAACGGCATCTTCGATTCTATGTTCGAAGATTTGAAATATTCAATTATGTATAAATATTTGATCACGTCGAAATATACAACACACATAAGATTGCCATATTTATATTTTCAATGCGAAATGTTTCTCTGGATTTAGCATGAGTATTCGAATTCCGCTGGAAATGTCCAACTAATTCCTCGGATAACATGTCCCTTGATAAGAATTGTTTTACCATCACATCACAAACAAAGCATCGACATGTTGTGTAGTGTGTGTGCACACACGTAAAACGGTAGACTTTGGCGGTGTTACTACTAGGCATGGGCAAATTAACCGAATGTATCGAACCGAAAAAGAACCAAATCGAATCGAACTGAAAATTTGAAAATAACCGAATGGATACTAAATTCTATAACCGAAAGAACCGTAACCGAATCTGTACCGAACTCAAATATTTTGGATAACCGAAAATATCCGAAATACAATAATATTTTCAAAAATATTAGTTATTTATTGACCAAATAATCAAAAATACTTGAAAAATATATAAAAATAGTAAAAATATTCGTAAATAACCAAAAAATATTTGAAAATACTCAAAAATAACTAAAATATCTGAAAATATTCAAAGCAAAATAACCGAATGGGTACTAAATTTTAAAACCGAAAAAACCGGAACTGAACCGAAACCGAACCAAAATTTTAAAATACCCGAATGAATATCAAATTTTAGAACGAAATAACCGAACCGAATGGAACCGGACCGATAACCGATCGAATAACCGAACGACCATGACTAGTTACTACAATGGCAATTAAATAGTACATATACATCTATGTTCTATCTATTTACAGTAATTATCATTTTGATATTTTCACACAAATTAAAAAATTATATTAAAATTAATTTCATATTTCTTTTATTTATCTATACACTTGAAGTTAAATCAAGTACTACTTTATAATTAAGTTAGGCATCATTTTTACTGAGTGACTCCAATTTACAAAAAGAAAAGACTTCAACAATAAAAAAAATCTTTATTTCGGAATATTTATCTAGTTAGAAAAAAAGGAATTAAAAAAGGTACAATATCCAGACGAAGATCTGGATTTTTCATTAGTAAACTTTTCCAGAGTAAGTATCAACTTTTAATAATAAGGAAGACGTAACACATACATTATGGTCCAGGTAGAGACCAATATATATTATACCCTGTTCTAAAAATCCCCGCCTAGCCCCGATTACTCCCCGCTTAATCGCTAGGCCCACCCTATCCGCCTCGATTAATGACTAATCCCCTAAAAAATCAGTAACCCGATTATTCTCCGCCTAATCCGATTACTTCCCGCCTAATCCGATTATTTTCCACCTTATCTTATATACCCCGATTATTTTTTAGATTGCAAGTATAAAAAAACCTTTTATTTTTGTTATTCAATCATTTGAATGGGGAGTTTGTGATGTTTTACAATAACTTGTGTTCAAATTTTAATAAAAATCATAAATTTGTAATAAAAATCATAAATTTTTACAATATTGGATTAATATATTTTAAAAATATTAAAATAACCCTAAAACTAATCCCCGATTAATCCCCGATTTTAATCCGATTTTCCGATTAATCGCTAGGCCCATGCCGAGCGCCCGACTAACGCCTAGCGATTTTTCAAACAAGGATATTATATGGTCCCCTTTAACCAATTTTCTCTCATAATTACACAATCATGCTTTGCATAGGCTTCTCCTAAACAATGAGAACCTCTTCTCCATAACTATCCATTATATTGTTTTACTCTTTTACCTTAGATCGGGAATTACATCATCACTCTAGAATTTGACACTACAAATGTGGTGGCAAAATTACGTATGTATGTTTACATATGTAATATAGTTTACATAATCAATCATAAACAAGAAAATGATATCTTATTGAAATCATTTAGACTTTATATAAAGATAATTCTTCATCTTCTTGTGAACACTTGCATCATCTTCTTACTGGTCCTTATTTTTTAGTTACTTTTAAGTTTAATTGCATTTTTGAAGTAATATAAGTAGTTTTTGTTTATTAAAAATAATTTTTGGTATTGATTCTTGTTTCTTTTTTTCAAATCGGAATATGTATGTTTTCGAGATATTATTTAGTCTTGTGTGGTAAGAAACGAAACTACTTTATAGATTAAGCTTTTTGCTTGTAAGCAAAGTCACCGGACATAAAAATATCAACTACTACTATGTTGTAAGAAGCAAGATTCGAAAGTGACATGGTTTAAGAACACAAAGGTCCACAACATAAAACCTAAACGCATCACCAAACCAACACACTTCACTTCTTCTACTAAGAAAGAAAACTAAGAAACCAAAGATCTCACAAAAAGAGGTAACAAGACCAAACTATTATTAACTAAAAGCATATTTGTAGGTTTCGGTAGTATTTTAGCTTGAGGATTTTTTAGGGGTTTGGTACTTTTCACTCTTCATCATCCTCATCTCCATCACCACCAGCAGCTTTCTTAGCTCCGGCTCTCTCGTTCCTTCTCTTCACTCTTCCAGGTCGACCACCACCGAATGGACTTGTTAGAGAGAAGTCTACGTGCTTCTGCGACTCTACTCTCACCATGAACGATGGAATGTTCACAAGTTGCCTCCCAACCCTATATCGAATCAAAAAACCATTAGGTCAAGAATCAGCTTTCGTAACACCCTTTAACACAATTGAGTTCATCTATAGCTGTAAACTGCAACAACTTTGCAAGGATCCACCCAAGATTCTACCCAAGTCAAGCAAGACAAAACCGATAAGCCTCAAAAGATTTTACCAACTCAAAAAGCATTACCTATAAACTTTAACACAATCATCTTTAGCAGTGAACTGCAACAAATTTCGAAGGATCCGCCCAAGATTCTACCCGAGTCAAGCAAGACAAAACCGATACGCCTCAACACAATTGAGTTCGACCAGAGCAGTGAACTAAATGTTGTTCCCAAGATTATACCAACTCAAAAGACATTACCTATAACCTTTTACACAATTGAGTTCATTTCGAGCCGTGAACATCGACAAAATAAAAGGATCCACCTAAAGATTCTACCCGGTTCAAAAGCACAACTATGTAGTGATACGCTTTAACACCATTGATTTTGTAAGAAGCAGTGAACTAAATGTTGTTCCCAAGATTATACCAACATCTTTATGAATGTAAGGTAAAGTTTCCGATACCTGATGTGCCTTTGTCGGATAAGGACACGAGCGTGGTGAATAGACTTAGCCATACCAGACTTAAAGACAATAGTTTGAAGACGACGTTCAAGGAAATTCTCAACAGTCAAAGCAAGAACATAATCAAGCTTGTTCTGGCTTTCATCAAGAAGACCATATCGATTCATTCTCCTAAGAAGAGCTTCACCTTCAAAGATACGACGAGGGTTCTTCTCATCAAGTGTTAAAAGTTCTCTTGCAGCATTACGGATTCGGCTAAGTGTATATTGAACTCTCCAAAGCTCTCTCTTACAACGAAGACCGTATTCTCCTACAAGCTTTAGCTCAGCATCAAGACGCTCTTTCTCATAAGGACGACGTGGCTTCTTGAATGTTTTCCCATCTTACAAAAAACAAATAAAAATCAAATCTTTAAAAACAAAACAGAGTACCAAATTAAAACCCTAATTTTCTTTCACACATAAAAACAGAGCAGAGTTAAATTTCACATCAGATCAATTACAAAACCATAGAAATAAAACATAGTTATAACATGAAAACATAATAATAATACACAGATGATCAAAATCAGATTTTGGTAAGTAAAATTCGAGAGAAAAAAAACAGAGTATGAATCTAAATTCAGCATGCATGAGGAAAGAAACTATTTTCGAAAATAGAAGATGGAGAGAAGAGAGCTCTCACAGTTGCGGTAGAATCTGACGTTTACCATAGCTGCTGCTGCTGCTGCTCAAAACAAACACAGAGTTGATCGCGACGAAGAAGACAGAGAGCTTTTTATATTACAGGACTATTAAAAAAAACCTAAAGCGTCTTAAGGGCTTAATGATTTTTTTTTGGTTTGGGTTGGCCCATTGGGCTTTCTTTATTGACCTCTATCATTTTTGAATTTGATTTTTTTTTAAAGTTAGTTTGCATAATTGATTTATTTCAAGGGTGTTTTTGTTAAAACCAAAATCTAATAATGGATTAAATTCTTAAATTAATGTGCACAGAAATGTTGTTTTTGATCATTTTTAAACCGAAAATGTAATTTCTAATTTTTTCCAAGTAGTGATTTGCTATATACCAAAGAATTATATACCATAATAGAGCATGCTTCTACTTCAAATCGCTTGAAAATAACTTTTCCAAATCGTTCAAATAGCTTAATAATGCTTAAAACAGCAATCGTTAATTTCCGTAGATTTCTGTAACTGTACCCGCATCTGCTTCGTTTAAACCATTTTTACCGGTTTAACTTGTGTAAAATAAGCAAAAAAAAAAAAGTTGGAAAAAATGATACTCTACATAATCTTTTTTTTTTTTTTTTCTGTAATAGGCCAATACCTCTTAATATTCTAATATACTACTATAATCTTTTTAATTCTTTACACTTAATTTACATTAATTATAAGCAACAACACACCAACAGAAACACCTCTTTGATGACTCTTTATCAGTGTTCTAAAAAGCGGTCTAGGCGGTCGCCTAGGTCCCGACTAGGCGCTAGGCTCTCATGCGACGCCTAGATAACCGTCTTGACCGCCTAAAATTATATAGAACTTGTTTAATGTATTTTTTCAATTTCAATTAGAGTTTTATATATATATAGTTATAAATATTTATATATTGTTTAATATAAATATAAATAAATGTCTTATTTAGTTTTTGTTTATAATTTCGTAATTTTTAGTTTTATATATATATTTTATATAACTTTTATATATAATATCATATTTATAATGTTTTATGTTATAAACGTCTAAACCGCCTTAAAAATCGCCTAGGCTCCGATTAGGCGTTCTAGGCGCTAGACACTGGGTCACCGCCCGCTTAGTGCCTAGCGGTTTCTTGAACACTGCTCTTTATCTCTTCGGACATTGCACAAGAACAAAACTAAAAGACAACTAAAAATCTTCAGTCTAATCAAAATTGAAGAATCCATTAAAAACTTTAGCTTAACAATAATAACTAATTAACCATTATTTGTCTCTGCAAAAACCACTATGAAGCTACTTTATTATGATTATTATTCTTCACACCAAATTCTCTTCTTTTCGCCTGAAAACAACACACATAAATCTCTAAGCAAAATCCACAAATATCAAAAACATTCTCAAAACACAAAAGAAACTTGCAAGTACTTACTTATTAACTAACTTGATTAATGAAGCTGGTCTTTCATATCCTCTATCTTCCTTCTTTTGACCTTTCACTTTCTCTTCTTTTGACTCCATCTTCCAAGAAGCTTTACTCAACGATTCACCTAACAACTCTGCAACATTTGTCGCCATTGCTTCAACCCTCTCCACAAATGGGAAATTCTTCTCTTCAAATTGGTTAGATAACCAAAGATACATAGACAATATTTGGTGTCTACTTTCCAAATCCAACAGCTCGGTATCGTTCTTAGCAGAACTCTTTGGTACCCCCATTGCTATATTAACCGGCGTATCTTGGCTATATGTTGAAGCAAATCGATACAACTGGTACATTGCTTTCGGATTCCTGATATTGACCGGTGCAAAACAGAAGTTAAACCGGTCTTCTAGAGACAGTCCCTGTACTTTCTCCAACATGTTTGCTACTTTCTTCACATGATCATGACGGCACAAGAAGTAAGAACCGTCGAGTCTGCAGTGTTTTCCAAAATGATCTAAGAGTTTTGAAAAGGCCATATCGGGAACTTGTGCAGCGAAAAGCTCAATCTGTTCAAAGAAAGGGAAAAGCCCTACTTTTGTAACTTCATCAAACGGTTGTTGCAAACACTCTATTAGATAGTTTAGATCTTCTAAGTGCAATGTCGTTGTAAGTCCATCTGGGTAACGGCTTCCTCTCCTTCCAGCTCTCCCGGCAATCTGTTTTACCTGTGACGCTGCAACTGGAACAATCTTATCGCCGTTGTACTTGTTCAAACTGTAAAACACAACCCGTCTTATGTTAAGATTCAATCCCATTCCAACAGCATCGCTTGCAACCAAAACATCATACTCGTTTTCTTGATCATTAAACAGATTAGCTTGCTGTCTCCTTGTCTCAGGCGGCAATGCACCGTAAATAACACAACATCGATGATTTGTATGTTTCTCGATAGCCATTTTAACTTCAAATATCTCTCTTCTAGAGAATGCAACAACGCAATCCCCAGACTTAACATTTTTAAGATCTCCTAATAAGGTCTTCGCTTCTACGACTAACGGTTTGAACCTCTCGTAATGCTCTTCAACTAACTCGTCCCCTGTATCAGCACACATCTTACGCACAATATCCAAAACACTCGGGTCTCCACACAAATGAATCTCATCAGCTTTTAATCCAAGCAAAGCTTTTGTCCAAGCATGACCTCTACTAGGATCTGCCATCATTTGTATTTCATCGATCACAGCCACTTCATATAACTCATCTGTAGACACCATTTCAACCGTACAAGATACATGATTGGCGAACGGAACATGTTTCTTCTCTTGTCCAGTCAAGAGACTACAGTAAATCCCTAGAGCATTTACTTTATCAAAAACTTCCATGGCTAATAACCTAAGTGGGCTGCAATACAATCCATTCTTAGCTTCCATAAACCGCTGCAAAGCATTGTACGTTTTGCCACTGTTAGTCGGTCCACAATGGTAAACGATTTTACGCTTCATAGCACGAGCAAAAGGAAACCAAGTTGCAGGCTTCGTGAGGTCTGCAGTATCAACAATACTCTGAAAACGTTTGATCTCATCAGGAAACTCTTCAATACAGAATTCAACAAACACAGGGAACAAAAACTTAACAGCTTCATCTGTCGGTCCAACACGAAGAAGATCCTGAACAACCTCAATTCTACATTTCTCAAGGAAGAAGTCCCGGAACTTGCTAACAGCAGTAGGGAAAAACGATTTCCCAATATAGATTGCAAGAGCCTGATTAGCCGCCCATCCCGACTGTGCAAAATACCCGAAAATCTCATGTAAACTATCCCATTCACTACGCTGAATCTTAGAACGCACTTCACTTTCCCTAAGCTCTCTGTATAACTCCACAGGATCATTATACCGAGCGTTCAAAGCACGAGCAGCCTCGCTACCTATCTCATCCGTCTTAGCAACCACTGAATCATTCAACAAGCTTTCATCTACATCACCAAGTTCATTAATCACACCTTCCTCATCATAATCATCACTCTCAGAACCAGCACTTTCTTCAACATCATCATTTTCGCCGTTATTATCCACAGTAGACGAAAAGGTCCTAACTTTACCAATCTCAAAGCACCCAAATCTGTAATCATTCCATGGAAGCTGAATCCGAACCCGATTACACGAACAAAACCGGTTCGTGGGCACATCAAAATCAGAATTACAAAGAGATCTAGATTCAGTTTCTCTAAAAGAATGTAAATTTCGTGTCGATAATAGAACCCTAACTCTTGAACTATAGGCTCTACGCAAAACTCCAGCTACGCCTCTCGCCATGGTCACGAACTCGAATCAAAAGTTTTGAAATTTGACAATTTTGAGAAAAAGTCGGCTCCTTTATTGTATTACTTCAAATGGGTTTGGATTCAAAGGAGACTAAAAATAGTAAAACGAGCTCGAAGCGTACCTGGAGAGAGAGATAGAGAAGATGGTGGGCGTTTAAAGCGAGAGAAGATAAACCCTACACCATTTTTGTTCTACACGGGTTTAGCATTCGCCCGCAACAATTTTAGACAATTACTATTACTATGATTTTAAAAAAAAATTCATAAATCTTATGTTAAAATAATATAGATTTAGTACCTTTTTCTAATTATTTGCAAATTTTTGGTTATTAAAATATGGATCCATTGAACAATTGATATGTATAAATGTAAACAACTAGTTTTAGAAAATTAAAATAAATAGGGTTGAAAATAAATGAGTGTAAAATGAACTCACACAGCAAAAAAAATTACATGAAAAAATTTAAATTAAAGACAATACAAAAATGTTTATCTGTGAAACACTTTTTAGGATTTTTAAAATGGTTATAAACACAAAATGTACATAACAAATAGTTCTGATAAAAAGATGCGGATACATTCTTTACCAACAATGTAGTTGTATTTGTATATTAAAAACATAAATTATGTATGTTGAATAAGAAAAAAGATAAATACGAAAAAGAAATATTGAAATAGAATAATTTTTCATGAACTTTTCTCTTCAAGTGAGATCTTTAACTCCAAATCTTCATTTCCTCTCTTGATCTTAAGATTCACCTTATCACCTACACTGTACTCATCCAATATCTTCATCAACTCGGCTTTGTTCTTCACCTGATTAATAACACTCAAAATCTCAGTTATATCCTGAAGATCTATCAGAGGAAAAACAAAAAAACTTGAGAATGATTTTCTTGTTTTTATGTAAGAGGTTCATCCGGCTTACGGGTTTGTCATCAACTGCAACAATGATATCTCCAAGTACTATGTTACCAGCAAAACCCCGGGATGTCGGATGTAATCCTGCTTTTTCTGCTAGACTATTTCCGGGTACCTATTTTTGTATGAAAAACGGCACTCGTAAATCATAATCAAAATCATTAAATAAACCAACCGGTTTCGAGGTTTTAGAGTAAAAAGTGTTTTACATACCTGAAGGACAAGGGCTCCATTACGAACATTGAGTTGATTAGCTACTGGATCAGGGGCTAATTCTATGTTAATACCAGCTCGAAGGACCTAGAGTTTTGAATATAGTAACAACATCAACAAAATTCCAAAAAATGGATGGCAAAAGCCCGATTAAGAAAACAAAACAATAGATTTTTTTCATGCTTACTTTGTTGAATTGGATTAGTTGAGGAACAATCTTTAATACAGTCGATGACGGAATTGCAAATCCGACACCCGCAGATGTTCCTGTTGACATTAAGAGTGAATATTAAAATAGATTCTTACATGATTCTGTGAGTCAATGAAAATCACCTGTCTGTGTGACTATGGCTGTGTTGATCCCAATTAAGTTCCCTTTTGAATCGAGCAGAGGACCTCCGCTGCGAAATTTAATAAAGAAAATGATTTTACAAGAAAAATGTAATCCTCTTTTCTATAATTTTGTAGACGTACCTATTTCCCGGGTTAATGGCTGCATCGGTTTGAATTCCACCACCAATGGTAACTCCGGTTTGACTAAATATGTCACGGTTAAGACCGCTGATGACCCCAACCGTAAGAGTGTGGTCAAAACCAAATGGGTTTCCAATTGCTAAACACTGCTGCCCAACCTTTAGAGAGTTTGACTGCCCAACTTTAATCGGTTTCAGGAGAGTTTCAGGGGCATCTACCTGATTTTTGTGATAACATCAATATAAGCAGTTGAATCTTTTAAAATTCGATTGACAAATAACACAAAACCTGTATTTTATTTATACCTTCAAGACAGCAAGATCCTTAGCACGATCAGCACCAACAAGTTTTCCTTCAAAGTTCTTTTGTACCCTTCAAGATTTTCACAAACGAGCAGACATGAGAATAACTAGAGAGACTATAAATGGCTGAAAGTATTCATCCCGCGAAAAAAAAACCTCACCCATCAGATGCCAGAATATTCACACGACCAACCACATCCCCGGGGCTAGGATTTCTTGAAAGGGCATTGCCAATAACTGTTCAGCAGAAAATACAACTAAAAACCTTACGATATTGTCCTTGCCTATCTCAAGCACTTGTACGCTCAATTCACGGTTCATTCAAATCATCTTACCGTGATAATTGGTCACGATGTATCCCTGTCCATCCCAGACTACTCCAGAGCCATTTCCTTCTGGTATCTACGATTAGATTATGAGTGCAGTTGTATGTCAAAACAATCAATAAAAACATAAAACGATATATTCTGTTAGTACTGAGAAACAATACCTCAACCACACCCGTCATTTTGAGCTGAGGCCGTAATGTCACATCAAATATGTTGACAACGGAATAAGTATTTTTCTCAAACAATTGGACAATTCTCCCCTGAAACATATAAAAGATATATAAATCTTAGTATAACCATCAAAACCTGAAACTTACAAGCACCTTAGCTAAAGAAACAAACCTCAGTAGGGAAAAGAGGTCCAGCTGGGAAAACAGGTGGACTAACATCTTCAACAGTCGCAACAGATGGATCACCAAGTGCTAAGGCTGTAGTAATTCATCACAGAACATACTTATATTACTATGAATCGACAAAACCATCTTAACATAAGCAGAAGAACTTGAAGTGTTATGAAAAAAAGGCTATATCACATCATGATGACCAATGTTTTCTGACATCTAACACTACTATTGCAAAATCCTTTCAACTATCAACTTTGAATCATCACTAGCTAGGAACTGCGACGCTCTGATTGTGACAATTAAGCTTCTTATACAAATTTTTTTGCCTCATGGAATTGTTAAAAACAAAGCTTTAGAAGAGAAAAACAAATAAGCTGAACTAGGGAGCAGACCTGATAAGTACCTTGAAGGATTAAAGCACAAATTCATGAATAAACTTGTCAACAAGATTCTCCTTGTCGTCGAAGGGACACTTTTCATAGCTAACTCATGTAAATTCGACTTCCAATCTCGAGTAATCCTATCGAAAAAAACAAACAGCCAAAATCAAAATTCCCAAAGAAATCAACAAATCTTAATGTCTGATCCAAAATTCAAAATGAGAAGTTTCTCCATAGCTTCCATCTTTTTTAATTCAAAACATTGTTCCAAAAGTTAAAGCTTTACGGTGATTTTTCACTAACACTGATTCAGACATAGTCACATAACACCATTCTTAATAACAACAACACACAGTAACCTAAAACCCATTAAGAAAAGTCATAATCTTTGAGGAACCCAAATCAAAAGGAACAATTTTTCAGGGGCAATGAAAGAAGCTTACTTGACTGAAGAAACGGGTGGGTGTGAAACGACGTCGCCTTGAGAAATTCTGGAACAGGCGGAGGAAAGAAGTTGTCGTCGACCCACAAATTCATTCTCATTAGGTTTCAAAGAGAAAGATGCTATTACATGCATCTTTCTACAAAATTCAAGAAAACTCTGAGACCAGTCGAAACCTGGATAAAATTAAAAACCACAGCTTTTTTTTTTTTTTTTGTAGCTGAGGAAGAAAGAAGGAGATATTTTTTAAATACCGTAAATGTCCCTTATTTAGTAATTATAATTAGTGTTATATAATGTTTGCACAAAAAAAAACAAATTAGTATTAAATAATGTTTTGTTTAGGCCCAATTTTTTTTTTTTTTTTTTTTGTATTACGAAATAAATTCACTAAAAGTTTAGTGTCTTCTTGATGAGGATTATTGATTCAATTATCCTATTTTCTTACACTTTTTTTGTCTAAACAATTGTCTAGATATAATAAAAAAAAAAATTGATATGAGTATTCCAATTTTGAGCATACTATATATTAATATATACATTTCCATACCTTTCGTTTGCAAACGTTCTCTTGACTTGTTGCAGATAGTTAAGGCAATCCTCTTGATTTGTTTCAGATTTTAATAAATTTGTTTTGGGTAGCCAATATTTTTTTTGTTTCTACCCAAAAGCTTTTCTCTTTCAATTTTTTTTATTTTTTCATTTTCAGGTAATATTTTAATTTTTATAAAATCTATAGCAAGCAAAAAATTCTACAGTTAAAAATCTAAAGCTAAAATTTAATCAAAACTATTGCATGAAAATCACATTTTTAACCTTCAAAGTGTAACTGGGTAACACTTTAAACCTTGAAAGAATTCTACTAACACTATAAACCACCAAGATTGTTTTACTAACACTTAAACCTCCAAACTAGCTTTTCTGTTTGCAAAGCCATAAATTATGATGTAATAATCAATTTTTCTTTCTTTAATATATATTTATTTAATTTAATTTAAATTTTACTTAATTTTATTATTTATTACAATTAATAAAAATCTAAAAAAACAAAAACAAAATACATTTATTTTCTTCGTTTACTCACCGTCCGAGCATGAAATTTCTTATTAAACTGTTGAAACAATCTTTTAGACTGATCAACTTCGAAAGTTTCTTTCAACAATTGCAAACATAATTAATCGTTAACAATATTTTATACTCTCTCCGTTTCAATTTAGTTGTCGTTTTAGGATTTAAATTTTGTTTCATAATAGTTGTCGTTTTAGGTTTTCAATGCAAAAGTTTGGTGAAAATTCCAGTTTTATCCCTACTGTTTTAATGTTTTGGCCAATGAAATTTTTTATAAAATATATTAATAAAGGGTAAAACAGAAAATTTAATATTTTTCTTAATTTGTGTGCAAAAACCTTAAACGACAACTAAAATGAAACGGAGGGAGTAAGCTATACATGATTACGGCGGTACGGAAAACACTCCTCAATTCTTTTAGAAGTCTATCACTTCGATACATCTTAATTTCTTTTTATTATTTATTTATTTAATAATACTTTCTATTTTCAAATATAAATTTTAACGCATTTTTTTATTTTTAACAATGCTTTTTAATTTAAAGTTTGTCTAAATAAATGGATGCATAAATTAAAGAAATTAAAATTTGCTATATTGATTTATGATTTTTTGAACATATATTTTTAGTATTTTAGATACAATATAATAACATAAATACTAATAAGTACAAAAAGTGTATATTATTTAATTACAATGATTTATCATTTTATACAATATAATAACATAAAATGTTAATAAATACAACATATAAATATGAATAATTACATAATATGTTGTTTTTAATTTTCTAAACATAATAATATTAATAATGATCTCAAATAGAGTTTTTGAATTAATGAAATTACTTCAAACATGTGTTGTAGTAAATATAGGTACAATAAGACATAAAGTGATAAAACATATTTAAAAAATAATAATCACAAAAAAAATTGAGAAGTGGAGCAACACACAACAAATAGAGCGTGCCTACTGTGCAAGGTGGATCAACATTTCTCTTCACAAATCTCACACGCTTTCACTGTAGTTCTATTAAATATTAATTTTTTTGAGAAAATCCACTTGCTTCACATATAAACGTGAATGGTAACAAAGTTTGCGGTACATCTGCTCCGTCCAAGAACCGTCTTTGAACCATCGTTCCATTCAGACCCAATGTAGTGCCGGATCCAGAATAATTTTTAACGGTGACGATCGATATTTATAAAACATATTATATTTTATGTAAACACAAATAAATATATTTATATATACAAAAATATTTAATATAGTTTTTACCATGTTGTTTACGATAGAATTAATTCATTATACAATATAATAAAAAGTAAAATTAATACTAGTTTTCTATTAAAAACATTTTAGTTTAAATGAATCAAAGAGTGATATTTAAAAATTAGAGATTTTGAATTATCATATTTAGGTTGATTTAAAAATTAAATTTACTAGATTTTGTATTAATGTTTTAATTTATTGTTTTATAGAAAACTCAAATATTTAGAATAAAACACATAAAATATTGAGTCAATTAGCTGCATAGCAATTATTTGAAAAATAATTAGGTGTGACATACACAAGTTTTTTTGTTTGCAAAACAAGAGAGAGAAACTGGCACACCATAAACTTTCGGACGAAAATACCCTCCAAAAGAGAAAAAATGGCACATCACCACCATCCACTACTCTTTCTCCGATTTTCGTCTCGCCACCATCCCCTTAGAAATTCACAATTTTTCTTCCGCAATCTTAACTTTATCATACACGACTCTTAATCTTCTCCAACCATGATTTGAATTCACACTCTAAAGACCAAATATTGGATGTGTACAAAAAAAATCAAAATTTACATGTTAGTATTGGAAAAGAAGACTTTTAGCAAACTCTTTAACAGAGAGAACATCAACGAAGAGAGTGAGACACCGAGAAGACGAGCGGCGGAGGAGTGATCGGATGGGGAGTGAGCGAAGAGAATGTGGCCTTGAGAAATTAGGGTTTCGGCGAGGAATTGACTGTAGTTGCCAAATCCGATAATGGCGATTCAAAGAGGAGGGAATAGATCGGAATTGGGGAGAAATGTTGCCGGTGACGGAGAGGCGGTAGATGGTGCTGGGTTTCTGTGGGCGGGGAGATAGAGCAAGGAAGCCATTGACGAGAGATGGTTGAAGGAGAGAATGCGTAAAAGATGATGATGTGGTTAGGGTAATTTCGTCTTTTTGCCCTGTTTCTAGAAGAAGTCTTATTTACAGTTTTGCCACATATCCTTTGACTTAATTGTTTTGTAGTCTTAGGGTACGAGGTGCAAATACTCTAAAACATTACCATAACTATAATTATAAACCACTAAAGTATTCGGAAGAGACCAAATTTTTAAACATTAAATTTTGAGTTTATTCAAAGGGTAATAGATGTTATTGTCTATGCATTTAGGTTAAGTTGTTACATTTAGATTTAAATTTGTAAGATATTTACTATTTAGCTAAATTAAAGGGGATAAGAGATATACAATATTCATTTACCTTCTTTTTAAGTTAACGTGAGGAGAGATTTTTGGAAAACACAAATTTAACGGGGGCAAGAGAGATTTCCTATGTGGGGCAATTAAATTAATTCTTTAAAATTCTCAAAAGATTTCAAAAATTTAAGGGTGGCAACTGCCCCCATATATACTAAGGTAGATCCGCCCCATTTAATGTTGTTTATATACAAGTATAATTAATCTAAACGGTGATAACAAACCCAATTATCTAAATATACTCCAATACACCCCCCTCAAGCCTCTGAAACAGAACTGTGGTCAGGTGAAAAGAGGTTTGAAATGGACATACATTGAAGAAGATAGCTTTAGTCAAAATATCAGCATTTTAATTCTCAGTTGTAACATGAAACAACTTCAGAAATCCATTCTTGACATGATCTCTTGTGGTGTGACAATAAATCTCTATATGATTGGTGTGCTCATAAAACACCGGATTTGTAGCTATGTGTATAGCAGATTTATTGTCACAAAAAAGTTTTGCAGAACACTGAACTAATTTTTTAGAATTTGGGATTTGGCTTGAAGATGCAATAATATTATCTAGCAACAAAACCACAAAACATTTGAATTGATTAGAGTTCATAGTTACAAACATATTTCTTTCACATTTGGCAATGCAAGACTGAATTATTTTCCCAATAAATAGGTTTTGGTCATCCTACTTCATGCATAAGAAAACCAAATCAACAAAACAAAGCCAATCAAAAGATTATTCAAGGGTGGAATCAGAATATCAATAAGCAAAATTTGGTTCATGGTTTGATTCACGGATGAGTTATTTGTTCCTCATTTTCCACCATTCCATCAATAAAACACAAAAAAAATCTTTCGAAAAGTGGCAATGTCAGAATTGTTAAATATGCCTCAAACAGTTTTAAGCTCATAATGAGGAAATTACCCCTCACTCGCACATCTAATTGGTTCATCATTCACGCCGTTTCATTACAAATCCATAAAAAAAAACATTTCACAGATTATTAATATGTATCCGACCCGATTATAAAGCACGAGATACTAAATGTACGAATTAGAATCTGAAAATCCCCAAACGCTAAGATCTCTAGCAGATAAAAGAGATAAACACTTATACCTGAAGAGTTGGCAAGCGAGGACCTTAATTCCAGATTCTAATGCCGAAAAAAACCTCGAGCTATACTAAATCAGGAAGGGAAAAACTGGGTTAGTACTTAGGAGAACCCTAATTAAAAACCCTAAATAAAATTCGATTTGGCGCAGCTATGACTCGACATAGCTTCCATTAAGCATTTGTGGAAGGCGATCTTAAGGGCTGCGCGAGAAATTAAAAAAAAACGATAAATACGAAGAACACTATTGAGAACATAAACCCTAATATTTTAGAATTTGGGATTTGGCTTGAACTAGTAGTTAGAACACTCACAAAGCAACCAGTTGTTAAAACTAAGAAAATTCAAAGTTCTACTTGGGAAACTAGTAGAAAATTCTTAAGCACGAATAACATACCAGTTCTGTACTAATGCATAGATCAAAACGCCCATAAGAATCCATAAGGTACAAGGTGAACACAATAAAACGATAAAGAAAGGGAGGATCTTAAACCTTAGAAAGTATCCGGTCAAGATCTTGCAACGGCTCGGTTCGCTGGAAAAAGTAGACCAAGTACTCTAGCAGAGCTTCCATATACTTCCTGTATTGCCTAAAATGACAAATAGCAATACAAAAAGGAAAGCCATAATGAGGAAATTACCCCTCATTCGCACATCTAATTGGTTAATCATTCACGCCGTTTCATTACAAATCCACAAAAAAACAATTCACAGATTATTAATGTATCCGACCCGATTATAAAGCACGAGATACTAAATGTACGAATTAGAATCTGAAAATCCCCAAGCGCTAAGATCTCTAGCAGATAAAAGATATAACCACTTATACCTGAAGAGTCGGCAAGAGAGGACCTTAATTCCAGATTCTAATGCCGAAAAAACCCTCGAGCTATACTAAATCAGGAAGGGAAAAACTGGGTTAGTACTTAGGAGAACCCTAATTAAAAACCCTAAATAAAATTCGATTTGGCGCAGCTATGACTCGACACGCTTCCATTAAGCATTTGTGGAAGGCGATCTTAAGGTCTGCGCGAAAAATTAAAAAAAAAAAAACCGATAAATACGAAGAATACTATTGAGAACATAAACCCTAATTTTTTAGAATTTGGGAAGTGACTTGAAGATGCAGTAATATTACCTAGCAACGGTTCCATAAAACATTTGAATTGATTAAAGTTACAAACATATTTCTTTCACATTTGGCAATGCAAGACTGAATTATTTTCCCAATAAATAGGTTTTGGTCATCCTACTTCATGCATAAGAAAACCAAATCAACAAAACAAAGCCAATCAAAAGATTATTCAAGGGTGGAATCAGAATATCAATAAGCAAAATTTGGTTCATGGTTTGATTCACGGATGAGTTATTTGTTCCTCATTCTCCACCATTCCATCAATAAAACACAAAAAAAATCTTTTGAAAAGTGGCAATGTCAGAAACGTTAAATATGCCTCAAACAGTTTTAAGCTCATAATGAGGAAATTACCCCTCACTCGCACATCTAATTGGTTCATCATTCACGCCGTTTCATTACAAATCCATAAAAAAAAACATTCTACAAATTATTAATATGTATCCAACCCGATTATAAAGCACGAGATACTAAATGTACGAATTAGAATCTGAAAATCCCCAAATGCTAAGATCTCTAGCAGATAAAAGAGATAAACACTTATATCTGAAGAGTCGGCAAGAGAGGACCTTAATTCCAGATTCTAATGCCGAAAAAAACCTCGAGCTATACTAAATCAGGAAGGGAAAAACTGGGTTAGTACTTAGGAGAACACTAATTAAAAACCCTAAATAAAATTCGATTTGGCGCAGCTATGACTCGACACGCTTCCATTAAGCATTTGTGGAAGGCGATCTTAAGGGCTGCGCGAGAAATTAAAAAAAAACGATAAATACGAAGAACACTATTGAGAACATAAACCCTAATATTTTAGAATTTGGGATTTGGCTTGAACTAGTAGTTAGAACACTCACAAAGCAACCAGTTGTTAAAACTAAGAAAATCCAAAGTTCTACTTGGGAAACTAGTAGAAAATTCTTAAGCACGAATAACATACCAGTTATGTACTAATGCATAGATCAAAACGCCCATAAGAATCCATAAGGTACAAGGTGAACACAATAAAACGATAAAGAAAGGGAGGATCTTAAACCTTAGAAAGTATCCGGTCAAGATCTTGCAACGGCTAGAAAGTATCCGGTCAAGATCTTGCAACGGCTAGAAAGTATCCGGTCAAGATCTTGCAACGGCTCGGTTCGCTGGAAAAAGTAGACCAAGTACTCTAGCAGAGCTTCCATATACTTCCTGTATTGCCTAAAATGACAAATAGCAATACAAAAAGGAAAGCCATTCAGCTGCATGCTGGAAACAAATTTGGAGGCTTTAAGTAAAAGAAAATTCAATGAAATGTTTACCTCGATAACTTCAGTTTATCGCGGTATTCAACCCTTTCCCCAAATTTAGAGTTGATGTACTCATGCAAGTCCAAGTACCGACCATTGCCTTCCTGCGTAACAGACAAGAAGATTTAACAATAAAAAGGGGTTTACAAAACTGTTAAAATGTGTCAAACAAATAGCAACAATAAAAATTCAAGAAAAAACCAACCTCTCCACTGAACGCAATAACTGGTTCCTCCTTCAGGCGTGCTTCGTAGTCTTCATTAGCATCAACAAGACGTCCAGAAGGATGCCTTTTATGATATTAACGTATCTGTAGGTTTTTAAAAGAAGTTAAATAGGTGCAAATCTGATACTTTCATCAGTGGTACAAGAAAATCAAAGAATTCAGACAATAAAAAAAATTAAATTAGCAATTTGAATCTTATTGAGGGAGTGCACTCTGCTAATGAAAATTTAACCACTTAATACTATTCTTTAAAGCAACGCTTATATAGCTAGCCAAATTGTTGATGGAACAGAACTAATACACTTTCATCTACTGATGAGAATCATCAACACAATTTATTCAAACTTGTGAAATAATAGTGAAGCATGCTTAGCTCTAAACTTAGAATCCCTACCATCAGGTAGTTCCCGAGGCATCATTTTGCATATTCTCATGTGTTTTCCCATTGCACTAGTTGTGACACCATCTTTAGTCTTACAACTAGTCAATCCAGAACAATGAATACACCTAGCCTTAACATCTGTAGCTTCCATCTAGGCAGGAAAAAGAAACAACTTTATAAGATAAATCACATACAAAGCTTCTCTTTAGTAATACTATTTTTTTTATAAAACACTATCGAATGAACTCAATTTAAAAACAAGAGTGAACTAATTCGATTCAGATAAAACTAACACCTTATGTATCAAGAAGAAGAAAACTATGGATTTGTTATGCTGCTCCAGAATTACCCAATCACATCACAAATCAACTATTAAGATCACATACAACAAGTTAACTCAGATCTAATCAACAATCCATCGAGCAATATAAAAATCTCAGACCAAAGATCCGATGATCGAGAAAATAGTTTATAATCAACTGTCATGAAAATAAATAAAAATACGATTGATTGGATCGAAACAGTTTTAACAAAGATCAGCAGAAGAGAAAGAACATGCTCACAATAAGATTGATCATAGGAATAGAAGACTATGTTGGGGATACGAGTGTATTTATAGTGGTGAAAAACAAGTTAGGGTTTAACATATCGTTTGCCAAATTACAAACATGCCCCTGTCCCGCCCACTATTCTCTTTGCTTTTGGGCCTTGGGCCTTGAGGGCTCGGTCGTGTTTCATAAAAGTTTTTTAAGTCAAGCTTAAATTTGAATTTGATTGTTCGATCCAATGTGGAATTCACGAAACCAGAAATAACTCAAAATTAGTTCAAAACGAATTAGACCAAAAAGGTTTTACTTTGCAGGTTAAGAGATTGGAAATTTCACATAAAGATAAAACAATACAAGAGGATACACAGCACAAAATCACTAATCTATGATGAAAATATCAAATGCTTGTTCATCAGACTGGAACATTTAAGATTGCTAAAAAACCCTAATTCGTTGATAAAAAGAGAGGGTCGTGCGCGTGGTCGACACTCGCGGCGATTTCTCTCTCACCTTCTCCTCTTCTTCTGATCACGATTTCGTGCACCGACGGTGGGTTCTCTGCCAATTCCGGTGGCGAAGAGAACCCTCTGGCTCATGGTTCTTCATCCGTAATCCACGACATCATCTCGGCAAATCAATCGAACCAAAATCACGGTGGAGTGGAGTGGAGAAGCTTCCAGCGAGACGTCGACGGTAAGAGCTCTACCGGCGATGTAGCGATGCGGAGTAGAAGAGAGAGACTTCACGGCGAGGAACGAGGAACGACGGCGGTTAGATCTGGGGACTGGAGATTTTGGAGGCGTCATAGGGTCGCCGCTTGATGGGGGAGGTCGACTCCGGCCCGGTGAATCTAAACCACCGTCGATTGTCCCCGAATCTACTCCCTACAGGAAGCCCGGTTCTCTTCTTCCTCCTCAAAACTGCTCTACGGTGGTGGGATGGCAACGGATCCTGGATCACCATCTCCATTCGGCTCGTGTCGTCCAGGCTCACCGGAGGTTCCTGTCCCGGCGAGGTTCTGCAGTTCTTGGACGGCGGCTCAAGCGTGTTCTACGTTTTGAGATTAGGGTTTTCGTTTGTCCGGTTTAGATCGGTTACGTTAAACCGAGTCGGTTTTGTGTTTGATGGTTTTGTTGGGTTAATGTTAGTGGATTGGGCCCTAAGGAGAAATGTATGGGCTTAATTCCGGAAATAGCCCAATGTGCATTTATTTATAAAATTTGAATACCCTTTAACAAAAAAAAAAAAAAAAAAAAAAAAAACATTTAAGATTGCTAAGTAATATGTGAGAAGGGTTCCAATCGGGCTTTGTTGATGCTGGCTTGTGAGGCCGTTTCAATTGGCAAAGGGGTCTTGGTAGTGAAACCAGACTCTGCTCGGTTACAAATGATAAAGGAGATTTCCGGGTACGTTTGGCTTCTTTTCTGTGCGGATCTGCAAGTTCCGGTAGCCATGGAAAATGCAAGAATATCAATATCGGAGTCAGAGAGAAAAGATCCGGGGAATTGTCAATTGGGGTTGGCTATCGTGCTGGTGGATTTGGGTACATCATGTCTCGGACTGCTTGTACTCGGTGGTGTATGTAGACAAATGATCGATTTGTGTTACTATCGTTTTCTACAGCGGAGGAGTAAGCTGGTTCTCTTTCATGGTCTATCTAATAGGTATAACCGGATTTCAAATTTAGGGGTGATACGAAAGTTCATAGAGGTGATTGGCTTATGGAATCAACTGGGAAATGCATCAGCAGGGCAAGACAAATTCTCGGATACAATGTGGGTTTGGAGTTTGGAGACAACTTTGTTTATTTTCATATTTTATCGGTTATACATTATTTTGGAATCTTGGGTTTTAATGTGGAAACAAAAATATGTTAATAGTAGATGGTTCTTATGGATATATATTGCGCTTTGGGGATGGATTTATATAATTACGTTGTCTACTCCTACAATAAGGTTTTTAATTTATGGAGTATTCATGGTTCGTCTGGGGAAGGAAAGGAAAATGAATTATAAATCGGTCATAGATGCAACCTGGAGATACCGGGAAAAGAGAAGTGTTGTACCTGGGAAGGTGCAATTCTCACAAAAATATCGAATTATTTTATGAAGATTTTGAGTTGGAACTGTCAAGGACTTGGGAATAAGGCAATTATCGGTTATCTTCGGGATATATGGAAACAACACCGGCCAGACTTTTTATTTCTCTCAGAAACAAAACAACCTTTTTGGTTTATGGAAAAATTTATCGGTCATTTTGGTTACAAAAATTTAAAAACGGTTGATCCTATCGGTTGTAGTGGCGGTTTAGCTCTTTATTATAATAATGATTTTAATGTTTCAATTATTTATGAAAGTAATCGTTTAATTGATATTGAGGCGGTGGCAAAAGGAAAAACAATACATCTTACTTTTGTTTATGGTGATCCGGTCCCGAAAAATAGAGATCAAGTTTGGGAACGGTTAACACGGATCGGTTTGATTAGAGACACACCTTGGTTTTTAATAGGCGATTTTAATGAGTTAACTGGAAATCACGAGAAAAGAGAGAGTAATTTAAGACATGCATCTTCTTTTATCCCTTTTAATTTAATGATCCATAATTGCGGTCTTTTGGAATTCCCATATATCGGAGATTGGTTATCATGGCGGGGTTGGCGGGATAAGAAACCAATTCGGTGTCGTTTGGATAGAGCTTTAGCAAACGAAGATTGGCATGAATTATTCTGCAATTCGTTCGTTGAATATTTACCAATGGTAGCTTCCGACCATTCACCGGTGGTAGCTACGCTTATGGATAAGGTCCCACGTAGAAAAAGAAATTTCAGGTTTGATAAAAGATGGATTGGGAAGGAAGGATTACTCGAGGCAATTTCAAATGGTTGGAATTCTGAGTTAGGGGAGGGAAATTTTGTGGAAAATTGAAGAATTGTAGGCGGGCTATCTCGCAGTGGAGGAAAGATTTAACTCCCTATGAGCGGCAAACAATTGAGGAATTAAAATCGGAATTACTTGTGGCACAGAGAGATGATAGGAGACCAAGGGAGGAGATTACAGAATTAACTTTGCGGTTGAAAGAGGCTTATCGAGATGAGGAATTGTATTGGCATCAGAAAAGTAGGTGATGTTGGATGCAATTAGGGGATAATAATTCAAAGTATTTCCATGCACTAACAAAACAAACACGGGCTAGGAATCGAATTACGGGGTTACATGATGAAAACAGGGTTTGGTCGGCAGAGGATAAAGATGTTCAAAATATAGCGGTGTCTTATTTTAAGGAATTATTTACTACAACTAATCCTGAGGCTTTTGAGGAATCTTTGGCAGAAGTGCAAACTTTGATTACGGATCAAATTAATAATTTTCTAATGGCACCCGCGACGGAGTGTGAGGTGAGAACGGCTCTGTTTATGATGCACCCGGAAAAAGCGCCTGGACCTGATGGTATGACAGCCTTATTTTTCCAAAAGGCTTGGGTTACTATTAAAACAGATCTTCTTTGTCTGGTTAACTCTTTTTTAGAGGATGAAATTTTTGATAAACGGCTAAATACGACTAATATTTGCCTGATTCCAAAAACGGAAAGACCAACACGGATGACGGAATTACGGCCTATTAGTCTTTGCAATGTTGGGTATAAAATTATATCGAAGATCCTTTGCCAAAGACTTAAGACGGTGCTCCCAAAACTGATTTCGGAAACACAATCAGCTTTTGTAGAAGGACGCTTGATTTCAGATAATATTCTCATTGCACAAGAGATGTTCCATGGGTTGAGAACTAACCCATCTTGTAAAGGCAAATTTATGGCCATTAAAACGGATATGAGCAAGACTTACGATAGGGTAGAATGGATTTTCATCGAAAGGTCTTAAGGAAGTTGAGTTTCTGTGAAAAATGGATTAAATGGATAATGTGGTGTATTACAACGGTCCAATATAGAGTTCTCCTTAATGGACAACCTAGAGGACTAATAGTACTAGAGAGGGGTTTACGACAAGGAGACCCGCTCTCACCTTATTTATTCATCCTTTGCACAGAAGTGCTCATTGCAAATATTCGGAAAGCTGAACGGAAAAAATTAATAACGGGCATCAAAGTGGCAAATGCAAGCCCTTCGGTTTCACATTTGTTATTTGCGGATGATAGTTTATTTTTTTGCAAGGCTAACAAAGACCAATGCGGGATAATTTTGGGGATTTAAAAGAAGTATGAAGAGGTCTCGGGACAGCAGATCAATTTTTTAAAATCCTCGATTCAGTTTGGACACAAGGTAGATGATGATATCAAAGAAGAAATCAAATCTACCTTAGGTATCACTAATATCGTTGGTATGGGTTCTTATCTCGGATTGCCGGAGAGTTTAGGGGGCTCTAAGACAAAAAATTTCTCTTTTGTCAGAGATAGACTACAAACAAGGATTAACGGATGGTCGGCCAAATTTTTATCAAAAGGGGGAAAAGAAGTGATGATTAAATCGGTAGCTGCAGCACTACCAACTTATGTTATGTCGTGCTTCAGACTACCGAAAACAATCACTTCTAAACTTACTAGCGCGGTAGCAAATTTCTGGTGGAGCTCAAATGGTGACTCCAGAGGTATGCACTGGATGGCTTGGAACAAATTGTGCAATAGCAAATCGGACGGGGGGTTAGGATTTCGGAATGTGGACGATTTTAATTCAGCTTTACTAGCAAAACAATTATGGCGGTTGATTACGGTTCCAGATTCTCTATTCGCAAAAGTGTTTAAAGGACGATATTTTAGGAAATCCAATCCTTTGGAAAATATAAAATCATATTCTCCATCATATGGATGGCGGAGTATATGTTCAGCTAGATCTCTGGTTAATAAAGGACTTATTAAAAGAGTTGGATCTGGGACATCCATCTCAGTGTGGGAGGATCCCTGGATTCCAGCTCAATTCCCGAGACCAGCAAAAAGTAATGGTTCAGTTACTGACCCATCTTTAAAAGTCAAAGACCTTATAGATAGTCGGTCGAACTTTTGGAATATTGATCTCTTAAAAGCGATCTTTAA